ACGTTTTCGGGTAATAGATTGTCAAGATCAATTTCTTCACCTGCTAAAAATCTAACGAGCAGATTGTATATGTCGGCGGGATTGATGGTGATGAAAAAACTAGGCAAGCCATGCGATAACATCAGGGCGCGAATTTCATTCCGCATTGCAAGCCGCGCCGCACTAGATCCGGGAACATGTTTATTGACAAGTTTGACTTCTTTCATAAGTCGGAGGACGCGGCGTTCACTATCAGTGTAAGCTGTTCGGTCGTCTCCTCGTGCAAAACGCTTCGTGACCGTCTCAATATCTTCTGGAGAAATTCCAGCAAATAATTCAGCAGTTTGATGAAAATCACATCTTTTTACTTTCGCACTAGATTGCCACAAAACCTGACGCCGTTGCAGTATATTGAAGACAAGAGATACAAAAGAATGGTGAGTCTGGAAACAATTATCCGTCAGGTTTAGAAAATGTTTAGCTTGTGATTTTAAGGACACAGATACCAATCGTCGTTGGTCCTCAAATCCGCCGATGCCATAGGGGAACAATGTTGGATAAAGTTTAGGGAAGAGCGTTGGATTACAAAATTCATTTTCAGGTTCAGGTCCGTGTGGCATCTCCAAATACGATTTAGTGGAATCTGTGAAATGACGGAGCGCGGCAGCTCGGAGTTCCTGTGCAGAAGCCTTTGGGTCAACGTTGGCTATTAGCACGCCTTCAAAAGGGACATCATTATTGCTTTGTTCACGAGGACGTTTATCAAATTGATGTTCATCAACATATCCTGTCGTTAACGCTTCATCGTGCGGTTCTGAAAACTCAACATGGTAAGGCAAAGCAGGAAGCCTGGCGATGTCATCCAAAACTTGATTGTTTATTCTTATATTACGATACAGGTAATTATTGGCTTTCAGCCACAGCAGGGCACGCCGCACTTTATCAGCTCGAATAACCAATGGCATTGCTTTTGTTTTTATCCAATCTGCTGTTGGCGCATTGGAACCTGTATAAATTACACATATGGGGGCTACAATGTCCTCTATGGAGGGTGGAAGGAGTTCTGATACGATATCTGGACGTTGTGGGTGAACTATTACATGGCCCCTCATTCCTCTCTGATGAACTGGTTTAGAGTTTGAACCATAGTCCTCTTTGGATGCATTGCGGGTGTCTCCTTTCAGTCGCACAATGATAGTGCGAGCTCTGCATAAGCTTGTCATTGATTCTTCGATGGGCGTCAAGTCCTTAAGCTCTTCGGGAACATCGCCAATAAAAAGTCTGTTGGCAATAGACAAAGAGGGTATTTGACCACGCTGCAAAGCACTCCAACACTGTTTACATAAAATCATAGAGGTAGGAATTCCGTCAACTTCAACAACACCATCTTTATCGACCAAAAGGTTTTTCAACGGCCCCTCTGAATACAGGAAAGGTGGACATGCCACAGAAGGATGTAGCCACCTACTATCACGGACTTCGTCGGTCTCTTCAATATCAGAATCATTTTCACTGAGTTCGTCATCATTAATTTCGTCAAAGTCTGGTCGTCGCAAGAGCACGAGATCAATATCAGATAAAGGTACGGTTTTCGCAGAAGTCTTTAACGTCCGTTCAGCGCAGGACGCACAAGTTTGGGATGCAAGAGAAGCCGACAAGGTGTTTAACTTGAATTCTTCCACAAGCTTTTGGAGTAAATCTTTGGATGGGATTTCTGGCCAACAGCTCCGGGCGTCGCTTAGCGTCTCATGATGTTCACATGCTTCGAGAGTTTTTTTACCTTTGTTTGACGAAACGATGAATTTTTTGACGACACGACGAACCTTGGAGACTGAATCGGTATGATCACATTCAAGGTTGTACATTGTCGCTACTCGTCTTAAAGCTTTCAATTTCAATTTGTGAACAGTAGATGCAAGCAAATATGTCCTAAAATCAGAAATGCTAGATGAAGGAATTTCTTCAACAACGCGCTCACAAGCCAGAGGTGCTGAGCCAGTATCCTCACTGGCAGAAGTCTTACAACGACCTTCGCATACATGAGTAAACAGTCGATTGCGAAGTTCGTTAACAAGACCATCACAGGGGATCCCGTGTACACCACATAGATTAACCAACGTTGACTTGTCCATATCTTCAAAATCGTTTAAAAAATGAGACAATTGATAGAAATTCCTGGGATTGTGCAGAATTGCTAAACGGCCCTCATAAAAATCGACGTATTCAGCGTCTCCACTCAAAGGAGATCCAGGTTTCTTCTTAAATCCCAACAATGTGCAAAGATCACGAAACAAGACAGGAGACAAGCGTTTCTGATGATAGAGACTCAAGATTTCAGATGACAGTGAAACAGATAAACTGCTCATGCTACCTGACATCTTGGCAACACTTTTACAAGTCAGAGAGGCACGGCGGTGACAGTGACCATATAAAAAATGTTGGACAAGAGCTGTTCGTCTAGATTTCGTATCGAGTCCATCACACAAGATGCCATGCTGTTGCAAGACCACCGCCAAAACAGTGGTTGAGGGACCCATCGCAAACAATGTAGAACGTTCGTCACACAACACAGATGCCATATGAACAGATTCAGTTTCAGAATTTAAAACGTGTAGGGTAGACATGTTATCATCAACATCAATGTGTGCCTTTACAAATGGGTTAGAGTCTGCAAAATGTAAAACTCAAAAATGTGTACCTGATCAGAAGCCGACGAATGCGAATTGCGGGTTTCCACGAATGTCGAGGTAGAATCCTCCGAATGCGAAACTTCATCCCTGTTGTTTCCCAAATGTCTTGAATCAAGGTCAACCGGACACAAAACCTCGGCACCGGAATGTTGAATAATAAAAGACTGCGGATACAAGTGAGCAAGAAACAATTCACCACAACAAATACACATACGTCGTCAGTCGGTCGAGATACATCATCCTGAAAATCGACTTTAAGTCAGACCGACATAAGACAATAAGGTGACTCACAAAAGTCGAAGGGACAGCCAACGACATTGAGAGACACAACGCTCTCAAGTGAGCTTTCCAAACGGTCCCCAATATCACATCAAAATCAGTAAAATGATTTGTCGGTATCATAGAAATGAGGCATGTCAACCGGCTTTCTCCTATTTGCACAGACACCGCAATATCATGCGAACGTTGTTGTAGATCAAGGCCAAATCGGGTAAGAGCCGAAGTAGATACGAATGACCTTGAAGTAGATCGAAGGTCGACAGAAGCAACGTGGCCATTAAACTTGAAGTGAAAGTCAGACAAAGACATGACGGTCAGAGAACAAAGATTCAGATTTGGTTCACATCATCAAGAATGCCAAACATAACAAACAAATATAATTGCTAATGCTAACCACATAACCAAAATATAACTACGCGGATGGACAACCACGCTTCTTACATTTTCGGCCCAGACGCCAATCGTACTTCTGAGTTAACAGGTTGCTTTTCACGTTCCCTACATGCCATTCTAAGAGGCCAACGCCAACAAAACCAAAAAATTCTCGCTGTGCGTTAGGACAACAAGTAGGATGTTCGACCGGATGATATGCAGAGTCCTGAAAAATCACATATCCTTTGTTGAGCATCTCAAAATAGGTGGTAGACGCAGGTGGGATCCCGAATGTGTACGATACTTGCTTTTGAAGGGTTTGTGTAGGATAAAGACAGCCGAGATGCTCTGAGCTGACGAAGTTCATACACGCTGTCTGACCAGCACCAACGACGACACCCAAAAACGAATCTGGGCCATGCGCTTCTGTGACCGTGATAGTCCTTCCCTCTGGATTGACATACATGGAATGAGTGTACGCAGCAGCGGCCTGTCTTCTTAAAACACCAGCCCCAGAAAACCGGAAATGAAGGCCACTGAGCAGCTGGATAAAACTTTGAAGACCAGCTCGAGGTGTCGCAATGTTAAGGTCCCGAGGGACCCAATTGCTACCACGGCCATTTAACAGAATTTTCAACGCCATGGATCCAATTACGGCACTATTGGACTCAGCGAGAACTGCCAGAAACTCATCGAGGTGAGCTAAAATTCAACATCAGCGACGAGTCGAGCAACAGGAATGGTCACTAACCATGGACCACAAACGAGGATTAAAAAAAACGCACACGTCCGTTGAGATACGACTGAACAGCCGCATGACACAACCAACTAGATTGAGCAAAGGAAGTGAGAACGTCGAGGGGACAACACTCAAACACAAAATTCCTGAGGTCACCCCCTTCTCCAAAAAGAAAATTCAAGAATGCATTGACTGGCTCGGTAGCTTGCATGGGGTGATATAAGGAAGATCCGGACTCAAAGGAAACCTTTTATATGAGAAAGCGAAACAACTCCTATATAGACACCCCTCATACAGACACCCCTCAGATATGAAAAAGAAAAGCCATGTAGTCATTGGAGAGAATGAAGACATTTCCTTTTTAAAGCGTCGACTACAATAATGGAACGACGATGCCCATTAGGGGTAGAACAGACGGGGCCTTGCCAACAACAGGACTCGGAGATGAAAGGAGCAATGTGATGAGCAAAACGATCAGGTGACGTTAGAAAAGAACCCCTATACTCAACAGTACAGTACTAGAAGGTGGAGTAACGTGACGGGCAAAGATGGTCAGGTGACGTTCGCACGATCCTTGAGTGGCGAAGGGTGAGAAAACCTACTACTTACGTAGCAGGCATATGTAAATTATTACTCTTCTATTCATATTTGTATTGCATAGTCTATTTTCGCTTTTTTGTAGTATTCATAATTAATAATAATAACTAATAAGCAGTAATGCACTGGAATCACTGGAATCCACTGGAGTCCAGTGGACTATGACTGGACTCATAGTCCACTGGACTGGGACTGGACTCAGGAAAGTGGCTTGTAGTCCAGTGAGAGTCCAGTGGACTGGACTGGACTGGACTGGACTTGAGGCCAGTGGACTGGGCATTGTGCAAGCCAATCTGGCCTAGCAACTGGGCCACTGGACTCCACTGGAATCCACTGGAATCCACATGGATTACATGGGGGATGGTAAAGACCTCGGTAAGAAGGGGAAAAAAGCAAGGTGAGTGGCCTGTTTTATACCAGTACTTGCATACTAACTGTTCTATTCAGAATGACAGGTGCCCAGCAAGCACGCTCTTTTATCTCTATTTGATTATTTCTAATGTGATGTTGATAGGGTTGAGCGAGCTCTTGAAGCTGCTGGTACTTCTGTTGCACCCCCAAAGCATACTGGCAAATTATCCACCTCCTGCTCCTACCCTTTCGAGCAGCTGTTCTCGTATCAATCGTGAGCCAGAAGTTACTGCTGGATGTGAAGAAGTAAGTGGTGAGGAGAGCAATGAGGAAGATGGAGATGAGAGTGATGAGGTTGATGAGGGCAGTGATGGGAAAGATATCTGATTTGGCCCACCAAGAGGTCGTCATCAGGCCAAGTCTGGTTCTGGTTGTGAGGAGCCCTTGGCCAAGAGTAATATTTTATTTCATGTTTCAATCTTTTATTTATTTATTATGATCTATTCATAGATATTGATCTTTCCAATTTGGCACCTCCTGAGACAGAAGTCCCTGCTAATGGGTCTTCCTATACTACTGGGGGTATTTTGCATGGGCGTGCTGTTGGAAATTTGTTCAATATAGGTGACTCCATTTATGATGCACCACAAGAGGTCAGACCCCTTTCTAATGGTCGCATTAATATCACAATCGTCCATCAACCTCCTTCTGATGTTGTTATAAACAATGCCACCTTACATCTAAATGTCAAGTCCCCCTGTTTTGAGACATTGGGCCCACTTCTGAAACAGGTGGCCAAGAGCTATAAATATACAAAGTTTAATAAAGCTTCATCTCAGATCGCAATTATTGTGTGTATATTTTGGATAAGAAGCAGTGGTCCATCATGGGCCATTACAATGTAGTAGTTGAGGATGATGAGGATGTTATTTGGGAGGAGGATGACATTGGTAAAGTTACACATATTCTTCTGGTATGTTTTATTGGCTATTCTTGGTTTAAATTTTATTTAAATATGACCATGAGCAAATGGTTGCTTCTGCAATTCCACCATTGTTTCATCAGTGCTCTGTCTCTCTAGGCTCTTATTCAAGATCTCTTCCTCACTCCTTGCCTGTTGCTTCTGATTCTCGTGGACAGTCTTGAGCATCATCTATTAGTAGATCTGAGGTGACTGGTCCTTGAAGGCTTTCTAGTGCCAACAAAGCACTTCTGTTAGAATATCTTGGGATTGACGGAGATCTTGCTTCTCTGGATAAGGCTGGGTTACAGTCAGCCTATCAGAAGCTTAAGGCTATCATCAATGCTACACCTACAGTTATGGGCTTGAGCAAGGATGCTGAGTGGAAGTCACAGTTTGATGATGGAGCTGCCTGGGTTCCCAACATTGTCAACTTAACAGAAGAGTAGAAAGGACACTTGCATGTCAACAGCACCAACCAGAGTGGTATAAACGTGCAAAGCACAGCAAATGTCACAATCAAGCTGGAGTTCGCTGGATGTTACAACGCCCTGGTGAGAGTAATGCTTGGGAGCCAAATCGCAGAGGACCAAATCCCCAACAACATGATGCTCCAAATGCAGAACCATGAGAAGCCCCCAATTACTTCCGTGCAGGTAGATTCTATTGTGTTGAAACTATCTGTGCACCTTGTGGTGTCATTATTGCTTGGACAAAGTTTGATAAATCAGAATCACCAACAAATATTTTAAACTTCCTAGGAAAAGTTTATCCAACAGAAGAATCAAGACCTGATTATATTTGTATTGATAAAGGTTGTCAAGTGTTTGCAACTCTTTCTATGCCAAAAATATTGTAATCTCTCACCTGGAGATGGATCTGCTCCAAACCTTGTAGTCATGGCATATGATAAGAATGGTAGAGCATATGTGAAGCAAGCATTCAATACACAGGTATTTATTACTTTATTTAGATTCAATCTCACCTTGACACTGTATTACATCTAGGTTTGTGAGCAACTTAATGCATGGCTTGGTGGATATCAATCAATTCTCAAATGTATGACACTTGGAAATTTCAACTGGTTTTTACACACCATGCTGTTCTATCACACAAAGTATGTCCTCCACAAACAAGAGATGAAGAAATCAGATGAAGATGAGGAGGAAAACTTAGGTTTAGATGAAGAAGCTCAAGATGATGAGGATAACTAAATGGTAGTGAAGAGAAAGAGGTGTGCAGAAGTGTATATTAGTGTAAATGTACAGTTAGCTGAATAGTAGTAAAGAGAAGTATGCAGAAGTGTATATTAGTGTAATTAACATATACTTGCATTTAAATATAGGTTTTATACCTTATTCTTCTCATATCCTCATGCATTGAATGCACATATGCTATGAGAGGAAAAGAAATATTCACAGAGATATTTCTGCAGTAACAGCTGCCAAGTCTTTAATGGCTCTCAGCTGAACAAACCCATATATTGAATTTGACCCAATCTGTGCCATTAAAATACTTACTGCTGGGCCACATCATGCCATCTTAGCATCAACAAATCCATTGGGCCCAATAATGTATACATATCATTGGCCCCATTGGGGTAGCTCTATGGTACATAGGACAATTGACCATGTGGAGTAGCCTTAATCCATAGTGTACTCTATGAGTATTTGTGGAGGGGTTGGAGTGATAGAGGAAGTGGTGGGGGTGATGGAGGCAGAGGGAGCAGAGGGAGTACAGTGCAGTGATATAGGGGAGTGGGGGAGGGAGGGGGAGGGAGTGCAAGTATTAGTTACCTTACCCCACTAACACTGAGCCCCCCATCCATACAAACAGTGATACGGATGAAACCATTTCACCCATATAAAATTCAATTTTAACGATTTTACCGATAAAGGTCATCTCTAATAAATACACTGCATACA